CACACTCTTCCCTCTCCTCTCATTTTATCGCACTATCACCCCCTTTTCCTCACCTCAGCCTGTACCCTTTGCCCTGAACCTCATGCTTCTGCTATACACATCCTTTCTCACTGCCCGGCGGATCCTCCCCCGCGGGCCCTAGAGCACCTAAAGACTTGGGAGGATTGGGAGACCCTACTGCGCTCAGAGGACCCGGTTGAGCAGACCATGGCGGCCGACCGGGCTGCCAGCGTCATGGACCACCACCAAATGAACGCTTGAGCGCAAAGGGGTCGTGCGGGGGCCCGGGAGCCTGCGTGCTCCAAACTCCTCTGTTCAATAAAGTTTTTCTCCTCCTCCTCCTCCCGTTGGAAAAGTTCGAACAGATTCATAATGTATTACGCGAAACGACGCTCAAAAGGAACGACAGAAAAATGAAATTTAAAGGTTTGAGGGACGGGTGGAAAATTCAGAGTCGGCATACCATCACGCGAAATTGATAAAAGTACTTATGCCCAAGGTATCATCGGGCATTGATATATGGTCGGCAATACTGGTGACTTTTTCGGCCACCTGAGACAATTTTCTGCGGCAATGTTAGCGGGAAAAGGAACTAGTATCGGCATCGAAATGTCCCCCCCCCCCTTTTTTTTTACCAGTCGTGATAAACTTATGTTTATATTTTATATAATCTATTTCGCATTGTTTATCATAAATATACCTTGGTTTCCGTTTTAAGAGATGTCGGCATGAAACGTGTCTTCCTTGAGTATTTCAACGTTGTTTTCAACTTAAGTACCGCCAGTTCAAAGCGCACGCACAACTGCAGACAAATTTAAATCCTAGCCACGTGGTATCGCAAACTAGCCGGGCGCACGCCGGTAATGGTTGATTGACGAAAGGAGATCGCGCTGCCCCATATCGGACTTAGCTTTCTGAACCCAGCACTTCACTTTGGCACGGGCTATCAATTTTGAAGGTTGTAGTTCGAGGCAACAGGATGGAAAGGTGGGCTAGTTGGTAATTCATGTTGGTTCAGCGAACTGGGAGCGCGGGGGTAAACACAGACCCAAAGCAAAGAAGAGGCACACAGCATGAGCGCTCAACTAACGACTCAACTAACGCATGAGCACTCAACTAACGAGTCGTTAGTTGAGCGCTCATGCTGTGTGCCTCCTCTTTGCTTTGTGTCTGTGTTTACCCCCGCGCTCCCAGTTCGCTGAACCATCATGTAGTTCAAGGTTACGATAGACGTGAGGGAGCATAGCACAGCGTCATTGCGGGGGTGTGAAAGATACAACAGAACGAAAGGCTCTCCTTCTCGAAGCGAGTATCATGTGGTGCCACACATCACCACATCAGTGGTGAAGCGGGAGAGCCACTACCCCTCATATAATTCATGAATGGCAGACACTGTTGCTGGCTTGGCGACCGTGATATCTTCTGTGCGCGTTTCACCCCTCCTCCAATTTCCCCATCAGTGATCTATCTATCTATCTATCTATATCTATCTATCTATCTATCTATCTATCTATCTATCTATCTATCTATCTATCTATCTATCTATCTATCTATCTATCTATCTATCTATCTATCTATCTATCTATCTATCTATCTATCTATCTATCCTCTTACCTTATCTTGTCTTACTGAGCATGAGCAGAAGTGCTGCGCAAGCAAAACGCGGGATTCTTGCGGTCGCTACGCCGTTACGGATGCTACGAAAAAGATTTTTTGGTCGAGCCGAACAAACGGGCGGTAGCTCGAAAAAGTACGCTGGAAGAACAAGGCGGTGGTGTTTGAAAGCCGATCTCGTGCCTTCCTCTCGCGATGACGACAGTTGAGCCCATCATTTAAATGTATTTCTTTCTTCATTATAAATGTTTTACCGCAGCACACCATTTCATCAGCCCCCTTTTTTAAAACCCCTCCCAGTGACCCCCTAGAATCAGCACCCAGTGCAAAGATGAGGTATTGGAAAGAATTGGGGGGGGGGGGGGGGGGGCTACCCGACCCCCCTGTGCGCATACGCCTAGATCGGCCGTGTGGATGAACACCCATGTTTTGGCAGTGTGAAGCAGTGCATAGACACCATGGGAAGTGCCCCAGGAAATCCGGTGTTTCTGGGAGGTTTTTGGGATAACTCAAAGTGAAACAATTAACTCATCTGTTTTGGCTCATTAATGATTGTTTGAATACTCTTCTGTCGTTAAATTTACCATCATGTGTTATTAGAAGATAAATGAAGGTCAAAGTTTCATTTTTTTTCAATTTTCCAAACAGTCGAGCGGTGACCTGTAAGGTTCACCCCCACCAGATTTCACTCACCCCCACCAGATTTTCAAAATTTTTGCCCCAATATCTCTGCACACGATTGTTACTGTGGCTCAAGAAATTAAAAAAAGAAAATTTGTTTCGTCTGTTTCTACACTGGCCAAACCAAATTTGCTGAAATTTTGCAAGCAAGCTCTCTGGCCCCCTCAGAAGACAACTATTTTTATGGATTAACAACTATGCAGGCCCTAGAAGAGGTTGCTAGAGAACTTTGACGTGGCGTCACCACCTGCAATTTCTTTTTCCGAGTTTTCTGTGTATCAAGCGTCTCCTCATAGTAAGAGTTGTGCTTTTGGCACAGTCAAAGGATCATTACGCATTACAAGAATTTTTTTCTTTTCAGTGTCCCATCGGGTGTTGTTTTTGGCATCCTGTCATTAAGATCACTAAAGTGATCTTCTTGGTATTGCACATTACAAGAATGCATTGAGAGAAAAGAATTTGTATTTTGAGCATTTCATTTTCCAGTCTTGTTGATGCTGCACCTTTTCTTTGTATTAAACGCCCTGCAACACTGGTTACAGCACCGGATACAACCAGCTTACAATACTGGTTACAACCAGTATTGTAAGCGTACGTCATAAACAAGCACAAAAAGCAAAGAACCAATGCGCATGTCTACAGGTGATCAATAGAGTTAAGTTTCTTATGTTGTAGCGATAGTGAAGGTTAATTGACTTAAATAAGGTGTAGTGTTCTTTATGATATGTCTTCGAAATTTCTCGCGTGGTCTGGTTAGGGTGACTGTGCAAGATTACCAGGCCTTCAAAGATAAAATTGCATCTACATGACTGAAAATGCGAGGCGCGACAAGATGGCTTCATTCAATGAATTTCGATGCTCACTGAGGCACTTACTGATACATCAACCATTCTGTTGACCGACGTATATATGTGAACACAAGAAGAATTTGGTTAGCAACTCTTGTACAACAATTGAAAGAACAATTGGCATGCCTCTCACAGTATTTTTCTCTGCCCACTGCAGACCCCTGCGACCTTTTGCGCTCTGCGAAAGAAATGTTACTAACCTTATGGTGCGGAGAACTCAACCCTAACCTCCTATTGCTTCCCAACTTCCTTTCAGACTGTGCTGAATGTATGCACAAGATAACTGCAATGTTCTCAGTTTCTTTGCGGGTGAAGGTCATCCAAATCAATCTTTGTTTGCAGTGCAAATGAGCTGTCCACAAACCGATGCAATATGATATAGGCAAGACACCGCACCCTTTCGCAGCTGGAAATTATTGCTCAAATAATGTGCCGAAGTTTATTTTTTTTCTCCCGAGCATAAGTACATTATTCCTCATTGAACAATATTTGAATGCACCGACGTGGAATTCAACAGTGGTCTCACTCAATGCGGAATATACTGCCAGCAAACATTCTCAAGAGACACTTAGGCATCTTATAAAAAATTGCAAATTATCAGAGCAAGGTATTTCGCACGTTAATACGAGTTCCACCCCTTCGTCTTTAAATATGTTTACAATGCGTTTACTTTTCCTATTTTCAGTGCGTGACTTGTCCATAAAAATTTAAAAATTCTATAGCAGTAACACTCCTCTGCAGTCTTGTGTTAACCGCCCAATCAAACCACAATGTTATTAAAAGCCATAATGCTTTACGAGCAGTTCATCGTTGAATTCAGTGTTCCAGCTTGCATTTCTCATGTTAGCATGTTTTGACCACACGTATCGATACCACGGTGTATTACACCGTGATTGATACACAACAACTTGCATGCCACTCATCTCCTACGTTCAAAGTACACTCGCCCAGGGGAATACTTACACTGAATGTGTTATTCATATCGCATTCCATGCGTAGATATACACGTGTTCAGACCCTATTCAACAAGCGGCGGCATATAACTTTTTTTAAATGTTCGCACGGCGCCATCGAGCAGTGGGCGCAGGAAGAGCTGGTTCGCTCGGCGTACCAGCTTTTCCCCATAGTGCTCCGCGTGCCCGTGCGGCATTGTGGGATTTCTTGAAAAAGGTCTATTCTTGAATCTCTTTAGTAGCGGACATTGGTTAGGAACAGCAATTCCCTCAAATTCATTTCTTCTCTGGCTGCTATGGTTCGATGCAACTTAAGAAGTCAGGGAAGGCTCCACCCAGATGACTGAAGCGCGGCAGCCGATCACCTCAGCGACTAAAAAAAGCAGTCCCACTCTTGCTCTCGGCCGCATTCTCTGCAGGCAGGGTCAACAGCCGTCCAGCTGATGACATCAGTCTGGGGTACATGCCCATTCGTGCAGGCTTGTGTGCATCAGCCTTTGAAAGACGTCGCTGACGTCTTAAGGATTGAAAATGCCGCCGACTTCTAAAGTTGTAACAGACTATAGTTTGAACTAGAACTATTTGACTATTAATATTATTATTTCCTTTAGGAGAACCAGTCAAGGTAAGAGAGCTTCTTCTCCAGAAAACATTGCTTTCTTGAACACTTTCTTGTTTATGTTTTTTTTTGTCCTTTTTGTGAGCTGATCGTGATGAGTATGTTCCAACTAGCCCGATTTGCTACTTTACTTCACTACATAAGCATTAATTATTTCTTTGGCACAACACAGATTTACCAAGGCAGGGCCACAGAATCACATGAATGATCATGAACTGATGCACTCATAAGATAGAAGTTCAAATCGCAATGTCACTTAATTTGAATTTTGTCATTTTTTTTCAGGATGGACTTGAATGGGTGTGCAAGACCATTAAAAGGAAGTAAAGCAATGCTGAACGCTGCACAATTACACTCCTTGCAATAGGGTATCCCAGCACTGCGAAGCAGAATGGTTTACAGAGCACTTTCTGTTCGATGGCATTGACATAACTTTATTCAGCACAAAATGCAGTCAGCAAGTAAAAGATGCAGGTTTCCCGCAAAGCATCTCACAACAGTGTTTACCAGCAGATCTATTATCACTACTCCTCCCAAGGACAAGCAAGCTCAGTGAAAACATGACCGACTGGTTTTCTTAGTCCCAAAATGAGAGTGCTTCTGAGGGATTTGAACAGGAGTGGGCAGTGCCTGCCAGAAATCTCCACTGTCATTTCTCTGTTCCTTGATTGCCAAAATTTCCCAAGTAAACCTATCAGTCACTATTATAATCTTCTTAATGAACCTAAACTGTACCTAAAAGAGCCTCATTCTGGTGTTGTGCCACAATATGCAGCAAAGTGCACTGAAGGAGTGATATTATGGCATGATAAATAATTAAAACTCTTTTTTTAAAGCATTGGTGAGTCTGTGTATGGACAAAGAACAACCAGCACTGTACTGAAAACTACACAGCACAAAAACTAGCTGAAGTGATCTCTTGCATGTTCCTAGTGCGGGAGATTCTGGATGACAGCAGACGTGAACTCGGTCGTGCTGGCATAGCCACCAAGGTCTCGAGTACGGACCTGAAAGTTAAGAAAAAATGATGCTGCCCAAAGGAGACCTAAAGTGCAATTCATCATCAATACGCAATGATGGAGAGTCCGCTTATGTTACAAAATGGTATATTTTTTTATCCCTGCATGCACTAAATAAAATAATGAAGTCAAATACATGAGCTCATACAAAGAACGAAGCATACCTTGCCACTCTTGATGACCTTTTCTACTGCATCTTTTACAAGAGTAGCATAGTAATGAAGGTTCACATGGCGCAGCATTTGTGCGGCACACAGAAACATAGCTGTTGGGTTTGCAATATTCTTGCCTGTGGCTTCTCCAAATGTGTGTCGTGCCCCCTGCAAAAGAGAGAAAAAGAGCTCTAAGTGAAGAAGGTTTCAATGTTGTATCACCAGACCCATTGGAGTAGCACTTCACAAAGATGAAAGAAAAAAAAAAAAACAAGACAAGGATGGCACTGGCGAAAAGTGGGACACCTTTGTCCCTGCCGGTAACATCCTACCAGCCAAACATTGCATTCACTGAAAAAACAGAGTGCTATAAAACTCTTAAAATGGCATTTGCTGCCTGCTGTGCATAAGGTCAAACATTTTCTCCCTCTCTCACTGTAAATGAATCTATTTATTCCTTACTTTCTTCATCTGCATTCACCACCCCTTGTTTGCTGTTAGTGAGTCCATGAGCCATGGTTTGCTCTCTCCCTATTTTTTCCCCCCTAAGAAACTCACCCTTCACTCTTTTAAAAATATGACTATGTAAAATAAACCTAAGAAAATTCTTCCAGCAGGTTTTCCTGCCATAATTAAATGTATTACCATGAAGAATGCCAACCTGTCACTGAGGTCCATATGCAGGTGGGCCCATATATCTTCCAACTTTCTACTTAAGATCGCATGTTTTTTGCACTTTGTCATTGGCAACTAGGTGTACCATGTGATTGGAAAAAAAAAGAATTGAATATATAAAGATACCTCGGTGACACTTTCATGGGGCAATACAAATTTTTCTGTGGTCCCCACCAAAGCCCCTTAGCCTGCAACGTAAAGGAGTAAAGTTTTCGCGAACATTTGAGACATTTGTTAAATCTGATATAAATATATGCTACTGCATCAGTACAAACAGTAGCTGCCTGCACTATCATGGAAGACGCGGCAATAATGCGTGGGAACCCAAGTGTAGACATGCATGCCACGTCAGCAGTTGACCATCAGTGGCGCACCATAGCCTCCGAGATTGTGTGCACAAATTGCGGAGGCCTTAAGGCGTGTTTGTGTGCATTCACGTCTAGATTACCGGTAGCATTGGTGTTGAACACACACACACACACAAACATAAATAAATAAATGAATAACGTATATATATCTTGTAAGACGGCATCCAAGACCCTCCAGACTCTTCTTTATTGTCTCGAGTACGTGCCCCACAACCCAAACTAGAGTGGTGATGATGAGTATGTACAGATGAGAAGATATACATATATATTTATATATATATATATATCATTAACATTATGTCTAACAATGAAAAAACGAAACCCTTAAGCATACACTTCCTTCCTTCACACACACATATATGTGTGTGTGTGTGAAGGAAGGAAGTGTAATGTATATAGTATATATATGTGTGTATGTGTAGGAAGTGCATATATTGTGGGCGTTTATTACATTATCCTCATCCCTGCACGATCACAATCACCATCATCCGCTTGTCTTTGTCCTCATGGCCACTCTGAGTCATCATCATCGTCATAGTCTGTGTACCGGCTCTGCCCGTTCGTTTTGCGAGGTCTTTCCTCAAATAAACGCTGACGCAGCCAAGACTACCAAGACTTCATACGTGGTGGAGGTGAATTTTCGGTCCTCTGACCTATCACAGCTCGCTCTACCCCCTGGAGCTTCGTTCAGGCCGCAACTTGCGCCCACTGTCAGGCAGCATGTCCGAGACCGAGCCTGCCGGCGCTGATGTCATCAACCACACACAGTGGCAAGCTGCCCCTCCTACTTACATGCACCGACATCAGCAGGAACCCCCGCTCTTCGCTGGTCTTCGTGGAGAAGACGTAGAAGACTGGCTCGATGACTATGACCGCATAAGTGCCGCTAATACGTGGGACGAGGCCCCCAAACTGAGTTACGTTTCTTTTTATCTGACCGGAGTCACGAAGACATGGTATTTTAACCACGTCGTTGACTTACCCGAATGGGCTACCTTCCAGCAGCAGCTGCGACACGTTTGTGGGACACCGGACATTCGATGTGCCGTCTCGAAAAGGACACTCGATACTCGCCAACAACATTCCGGCGAATCGTACACTTCATACATCCAGGATGTCCTCGCACTGTGCCAGCGTGTCAATCAATCTATGCCGGAATCAGACAAAGTGCGCCGTATATAGAAAGGCATTGGGCCTGTTGCCTTTGATGCCCTCGCTGTGCAAAACCCAGCTACCATCACTGATGTCGTGATGACATGCCAGCGCCTTGATGCGCTGGACTTTGTTGGTCTCCAACCGGACATTGGCGACCACCACTCCACATCTCATGGCCATCTGTGTGACCTCATCCGGGACATTATACGCGAAGAATTGTGGTCCATGAGCATCACACCTCCTACACCGCGACCTACACAGCCTTCGGGAATGCCTTTACGTGACATCATCAGGGAGGAACTTACATCCCTGACCGGCTCTGCGCCCGTACAGCCACCTGCTTCTCACCCTATATCCACGTACCCTCAAGTTGCTGCCGTGCCTCCCAGCGACGCCCACGCGACATTGCCGCATCCATCCTACCCGTCAGTTGCTGCCGCTCCCCCGGTGAACTACCATTCCGTGCCCCCTGACCCTTCGGCTCACCTGACTGCACTATCTCAAGGTGCCCCGAATGCCTTCTATTCCCCACCATGGCGCTCGTCTCGCCCTGTATGCTACTACTTTGCCTATCACGGCCACATATCTCGTTTCTGCCGAAAGCGCCAGCAAGATGAGCGTCGGAACGACATGGGCGAACGGGATTTGCACACTGGGGCCTCTTATCAAGGTCGGCGTTATTCGTCTCCACCGCACCAGCCTCCATCTCCTCCGGCATCAACTGCACCGCGGAATAGCCGAAACACGAGATGCCGCTCGCCTTCGCCCTTCCGCCGTTCCACTTCTCCACTTCGGCCCGCCTCATTCTCCTCTGATATTCATTCGGGAAACTAAATGATGCAGTTTGTGGAGGAAAAACTGCATTCGGAATTAGAACTGAAATTCCTCCATCAGGCCCATGTAACATGGTTTCTGTGGAAGTTGAAGGAGTGCAAGTCGATGCTTTGGTGGACACAGGTGCGACATTGTCTGTGATACGTGCTGATTTGTGTGAACATTAAGGAAAGTAATAACGCCTTACGATGGTATCACTTTAGTTGCTGCCTAGGGGAATGTCATTCGCCCTTCCGCATTTGGTACTGTGCGTGTTTTCATCGACGGCATCCGCCATCATGTCCAGTTTGCTGTCCTGTCCCGCTGCTTTCAACAACTAATTTTAGGGTGGGATTTTCTATCATCTGCTTCCCCGGCGATTTGTTGTGGACAACGCGTCGTTCACCTCGCTGACACCGACTACATGTTTGACGACGACAATCAGAAGCCACTTCGTCCGGTCGCTGCGAAAGACATCGAACTGCCGCCACTACAAGAGCAAATTGTCAGCATTACGTCCAACGACATCTATAACAGTGATGTATTGGTTTCCCCGTCACCACTTGCATTCGTAAAGGCATAGTTCTTCCGTCCGGTGTCATTCATTTTTGCAATAGCTCTGCACTTGTCACCGCTGTAAACTCTACACCGGAGAAGATCTTACTGCCACAGGGCACTACTGTGGCCCGTGTTGCTGACTTCGAGCCTGTATTTGTCATGCCACTTCAAGCCAGCCCATCCAGAGACCCTTCCCTTGGTGAGCTTATTTCTTCCTCCGCCTTTACCACCGCTGTCAGCAGCGACTTCACAAATTCACAGAGGCATCAGTTGCTCGCATTGTTACAGAAACACACAAATTCTTTCGATATTTGCTCGTCTAAGCTGGGCCGCGCTAATACTTCAGCACATCGAATCCAAACAGTTGAGGCATCTATCGTACACCGCCGACCCTACCGCGTGTCTCTAGCTGAAAGAAAAATTATAAAAGAAAACGTTGCTGACATGCTTAAACGGGAAGTCATCCGTCCCTCATCCAGCCCTTGGTCGTCTCCTATTGTTTTGGTCCGCAATAAGGATGGCTCTGTGCGTTTTTGCGTGGACTACCGGGCGCTCAAAAAGATCACACACAAGGATGTGTACCCTATGCCACGCATTGACGACGCCCTTGATTTGCTACAAGGCGTGGAATTCTTTTCAAGCATCGACTTGCGTTCTGTGTGCTGGCAGATTCCCATGCATGAACACAATAAGGAGAAAACGGTGTTCGCAACCCCCAACGGGCTATATGAATTCAACGTGATGCCATTCGGGCTCTGCAACACACCCGCGACTTTTGAGCGCATGATAGATACTGTACTGTGCGGCCTGAAATGGAAAAGTTGCCTTTGCTACCTGGACGACACTATTATCTTTTCGTCAACGTTTCCTGAGCACCTAGAATGATTGGTAGGTTCTGACGTGCCTTGCCGGCGCCGCGCTCCAAATAAACACTAAGAAATGCTTTTTCGCTAACAAATCCATCAAGGTCTTGGGACACGTCGTTAGCAAAGATGGCATCCGGCCCAACCCTGACAAGATTTCTGCAGTCCTCCACTTCTTGCGTCCCGGAAAAACCAAAGGAGCTTCG